ATTAGTTTAATTGATAATTTAGATATTAGTATAGAAAATTCAAAATCTATTTGCTATTCAATTAAAGTTACAATTAATTTTAACCCGATCAAATATATAGTTCTCGTAGGTTCGACACTCTATTCCTCACTTTATTACTTGTTCATGATCTCGTGCGCTTGCGGGAAATTAAACGATCAATTTAATCAAGAAAAAATTCAGAATATAAATTAACATGAAAAACAAAATTATCGTCTTGAGATTGTTATGAATAATATACTATCATATATAAATTATATTCGAATAGTTAACATTCGACTTAAGTATAATCGAACATGATTTTGACTTAGTGGCAAACGCAGACATTTGAAGTTGGTAGCACAATCAAACTTATAAAAAAGTTGCAATAAATTAATGTATTTGATATCTTATTACAATTTCTCTCTATATGTTATCATACTTTGATAACGTTCCATAATTACATCATTTTCTATACTATCAAATACATCATTCTCAATATATGTAATCAAACTATAATTCAACAATTGATCTCTGATTCGATTCCAAACGATCTTTTACATAAGTCATCGCAGAAAAGGCTCTCTTGACTACAGTAGTAGCCACAAGAAGAATGAAAGCTAATGTCACAAGTTTGTAGACTAATGGATACACTTCAAGTTTATTTTTCATAACCAACTTCCATGAAAGATTATTAAGGCCTTATAATCTTCCAAAATCTATGTAAGTGCGCATGTTAAGAATATGGGCGTGTTAGGTAGAGATTAAAATCAGATTAAAATGGAAAAAATAGCTGTTATTGTTGACTTTTATTAGACAAGTAAGATCCAATAACGACTATATTTTCAATTTTAATTTGATTTTAAGCACGACCGAATACGCCCTATATGCATCTAGTTGATCATTAATTTCTAAGATATATGATGTCTCAAAATCTATTGGATAATACCTACATAATCGAATCACTTTATTCTTGTCAAAACCAACAAATGAATTATTTAGACATAAACATGCGACACAAATGAGTAAGTCACTATTTACCTCAGAAAAATGGTTATTTGGCCCTTGAAGTTGTATATCAATGATGGAATAAAACATTTTCCACATGAAAATGTTGTGCTTTGTCACCGTGTCACGTCGTGAATGACCTAGAGTTATGAATATATCATCAATATTAGGAACAATGATCTCATGAGCTTCACAGAACTAACATACCATTCCAAAAAGAGAATTTCATCCATCATCCCTCGTGGTCTGGAATTGTGCTTTACATAATTGTACAAATATTATGGCAATGGCAATATCTTAATCTTTCTTTACAATACTTTCGAAAATTCATTTGAAATTTTCAAGATTTTTTTTATGAGATGTAGATTTAATGTAAATTCAAATTTTAACATGGACTGCAATAAATTACATGCATCTCCTTTTGTCCTCACGGATGTTTCCAATTATGTGCTTTTGATGGTTTAGTGAACGGCAGAACATGGATATGTGAAGTCGGAATTGGTGAAGAGCAAGTTTGAATTAGGCTTTGGTGTGACGGATGGACTTTTTCAATTTGGGCAGTTTATGTTAAACATTTGATTTGGGGCTTTTATTATTTAAAAAAAAATTGGAAAATTGGTGGGTCATCTCCATCCACCCCTGTTCGACTTAACCGAAAACACATTTAGAAGAAAAATAATATAGAGAAAACGAAATGTTTAAGGCAAGAGTTCAGCTCATTTTCCCTACGACGATAATATCTGAATGTTCTACAATACTCAACTCTCAATATTACAATGATTCCGACTTGTAATAGTAGCATTCAAAACTACAAGAACAACAAACATACTAATGTTTTGATCTTTCTAACGACATGAGGGACCTAAAATATGCAAAATATAATATTTAAGATTGAAATGGAGAAGATGAAATAGTGCAAA